TTATGGGAATGAAGCATTGATGATTAACCAATGGAGTAACATCACTCGTATCGACTGCAGTAATGCTCCTGCTTGCCCTCAAAATGGTCAAGTCATCCTACAGATGTTCAACTTCTCAGAGGTGCAAAATCGAATTAGTGGAAAAGTCGCTTTAGAGATATTTGCTTTATGCTTTCGTATTATTATTCAAAGGCGATCATAGATATCTCCAAAAATTAATTTACAAAATCCAAGATGGCTCTGAAATACTGTCACGCATCTAGTGCTACGTATTTACTATTTATCTATCTTTTCTAGGCACATCTTCTTTGGGACATCGTATCATTGGCCCTACTGATTATGGTCTTCAGGCTTGCTGCATTTTTGGCTTTGCTTTGGCGATCTTACAAGTGATTCACCAGTATTACGCATTGTTTCAAACATTTATATTTAATAAAGAATATTGAATTCTTGACCCCATCATTGTTGTCTGTCAAGTCCACTCATATACAAGTACGTGTACGTTATATACCCATGGGCGGCCATTAGAGGGACAAGGAGGGCATATGCCCCCCTTGGCTTCCGCTTGAGGGTAATAGGGTACTCGATTTTTGAGCAATGAGTGACGTGTGCATTTTCTTGGTTTTCAACACACCCGCGAAAATTACCTTGCTAGATTTGAATGGTGAAACTGTACCCCCTCCTTGGTGCTCAGGCGCATAAAGAAAGAGACATACATCTACATTTTTAAAAAGTACAAATAATCCGACTGCAGTAACTGAAAAAAATGGAGAATCAATTGTGCTATCAAAATCCATCAAGCCGTTGTCCTGTCACTCACATCTTCAAACAAATCTACAGAAACCTCATGTGTTAAAATCCACCAAGCTTCTCTACTGTATCCCGTAAAATAGCAACTCCAAAGTTGAAATTTATTGTAAAAATCCATCATTAAGGTTTTATAAGATTTTGGTATACCCGATGTCACTCGCAGTGTCCACACAAATCTAGAATTACCCCTCCCCACACCTAGATGGAAATCCTGTTAGACATGAATTTTGAGCCCACCAATGTGCTCCTCCTTGAATTTAGCTATATGGACACCCATGCATATACCACAACAAAGAACTAAATATTGGATAATTGGATAATAAATCTCTCAAAAATCAAATGTTGTACTATTTTGCAAGAAAGAAAAACCGAGACATCTAAAAGCAAGTCTGAACCTCAAAATAAGCAGCACAGATTTGGAATTCAATCATGTATGCAAACGTCTGGGTCTACTTATGGACGAAGACCTACGTTTTCACACGTATGTTAACAGCGTTATCAAAACATGCTATTTTAGGCTGAAAGTATTATATATCAACAGGCACTTCCTCCGATTTAAAACAAAAAAGCGATTATGAGAATCGTTCATTATTTCCAAAATTTTATTTGGAATCATATATTGCTTAGATCAAATGTGTGCCTACAGATTACAAACAATTCAAAACTCTCCTTGCCCCTTGACTAATAATCTAAGCAAATATGATCATGTAAAATTTATTATAACTACTCATTTACCACTACGTTTAGAACAAGGATTCATGATTTAAATTTAAGATATATGAGCATATCATCCATACCAAGACCTCGCACAGCCATGTCTCAGCGCTCTTACTCATATAAATATATAAATACATTAGGATATGGGAATACAGAAAATCATAATAAATTTAAGTCACTTTTAAAACAAAATGTTTTAAAAACACAGTAACATAGTTTTGGTTGTTGGTTCTTGAATATAACACACTAATACAATATTTTATAAGCATTTGATACTTTATCAAGTATCAAGTAAAAGACAATATTATAATAGCTTATAGTATATATAGTACATAATTAATTTAGACTTTTTTATATATTTCCAAATATTGGTTGAGTAGATTGGCCAATGGCTAGACTCCGACATTTGCTTCATACCGTTTAATGTTATGCTGGGATGTTGATGATGCAATATAGTATATTATTATTATTATTATTATTCACTCACTCAAACTGAAATAATAAACTTTTTAAGATTATACGACTTTGAAGTTGAGTCATTAATTTTCAGATAATGATTGTAGAAGGAAGATAAACCAAAATATGTGTGTAAAAATAAAAAAAAAAATAAAAAAAAACGTTTACCTTGTTTTATAAAGTATTCTCCCGACAAGTATTTCAGTGCGGACATGTATTTGATCGTGAGGTCTTAGAGCACCGGCATGCCGTCCCCTGTGAGGTCTTAAGTCACCTGATTCACGAGCCCGTTGTACTACATTAACAAAGGCACGAGGGGTTGGTTGCACTCGATTGGGAAACCGATCCGCATAAATATGTGCCATTTTTTATTTCGTTTGAGCCACGCAGCAAACACCACTATTCACTCACGCGTTACCGACTGACACAGACTGAATAAAAACATCGTGATCAGCGTTTCAAATTCTTTCGCTTTTTTGTTTCCGATGCGATGAACCGATAAGGCGGAGTATATCCGTTGTCGCCAAACACGAGCACATAATATTATTATTGAGACAGGGCGGTACTCAAACTTCTAAAGGGCTATAACTTTGTTACTTTAATTTTACCACAAAAATGTTAAAGGAAAAAACATTTCTTTTGATCAGATCTACTCACTGTTAAAATAAATGACTCAACTTCGAAGTCACCCTGTATAAACAATTACATACAAAATTACAAAAAAATCATCTTATATACCTAGTTATCTTTGAATAGATCTAATGTTTATACTTCTGGGTTTTAAGATCTATTAGATTATTTACAGCCACGCACAAGGACACTAACCTTTTGTTGCTCCTTGAATCTATGTATTAAAATTGTAAATATATTATTATAACTAATATTAATATTATTATTGCTATTATTATATTTATTATCATTATTATATTTATTATTGTATAACGGAAAAGGAAAGTAAAATAGGCAACCTGGGCTCCGACAGACCAAGCTGCTGTTCTATTAACAACGAACCACTCCTCTCAACGTGTGGTAAGAAACTAGTTGGTCCGCAAATCGTGTGCTCTAAGTAGATGGAAGGAACCAAGGATGACGGCTTTCTGCATCATACTTCGGCAAGAGGAAAGCTTTTGTGTATTACGAAAGTTTTTTGAAAAGCTGCAGGAAAAAAACTTTCTCATGGAGGAAGGGACAAATCTCAAAGACCTTAAATATGGTAGATATATAAAGCTATCCTAAATATACAGGGTGCGGCAGAGAGGACGGACGTTTTTGGGATGGGTAGTACTCTCCGCCTCCGTTTACGAGAGAGGTGTGGAGGATGCCGTTTGACTCGTGAGATCCTAGCATTATTTTACCAGTTGTCGTTATGGAGCCTTGGACGGTGGAGCATCGCGTTTTCGCCTATGATTGTTTCGTCCGAAATAATGTGTCGGTCATCGTCGTACAGCGTGAGTTTCGTCGCCACTTCAACATTCATCGGAATAGAGCTGTTCCCTCTCGAAACACCATCCTTCGTTGGGTTGAATCACTTCGCAGGCGTGGTGAACTGATCAAAAGAAGACCAAGAGGAGCGCCGCGAACAGTTCGAACTCCTGAAAATGTTGAACGCATTCGATAGGTCTTTCTTCGCAGTCCGACTGCACAGTCTGCCCGGAAACATGCTGCTGCACTTCGCCTTAGTGATCGTTCGGTAAAGCGAATTTTGCATATGGATCTCCGCTTTCACCCCTACAAATTGGCCATTGTGCAACAGTTACAGCCCGGAGATTATGCACAACGAATGAACTTCGCACGTGAGATGGAAGCACTGATCGATCAAAATGAGAACCTCATTTTGTTTATGAGTGACGAAGCCCACTTTCATCTAAACAGCATGGTTAACTAGCAGAATTGTCGTTATTGGGCTAATGAAAATCCGCAACAGTTACACGAAAGACCGCTGCACAGCCCAAAAGTAACGGTTTGGTGCGCTGTATCGCAAACTTGCATTATTGGCCCTTACTTCTTCGAAGTCGGTAATGGTCGTGATGTTACCGTGAACTCAGAGCGCTACGACGACATGATCACCAACTTCTTTCTCCCTGAATTACGACGGCGATGTGTTCCAATCCGATGTTTGTGGTTCCAGCAGGATGGGCGACCGCCCACCATCCCGAGCATCCATGGATGTTATTCGCCCTCTCTTCCCGGGTCGCCTTATTTCCAGGTTTGGCGATATTCATTGGTTCATATGCGATTTTTTCTTATGGGGACACCTCAAAGCTAGAGTATACGCAAACAAGTCCCAAACTCTGGACGAAGTGAAGGGAGAAATTCGCGTGGAAGTCGTCCAAGTTGAGAGAGCGATGTTGGAGAGAGTCTACGCGAACTTCCAAGAACACCTCCAGCACTGCATCAACGATTTCGGCCACCACATGCCTGATGTGATTTTCCACAGTTGACTGTCTCAAATGCTATTTCCTTGTGAACATGATTCCATCAATAAATTTGTTTTCGAGTAAAAATTAACTATTTTTTTTTAAAACCGTCCATCCTCTCTGCCGCACCCTGTACATATTTCAGGAGGCTACTGGATTCTCAGGGGAGCCACGGCGACCCTGCTGAAACTACCACAGACGCTGGGAAGAGGCTGAGAGATCTGTTTAGAGCTAACAAATACTTTTCATCTTCAAACTTTTTTGAAGATTCGTCTGTTAAGGCAGCTTTCTAAGCTTCTGCTTACGCTCCAACTCAGCCATGCTATATTTATCTAAAAGAAATCTACACAAGCTTTTCTTAATATCTCAATAGCTAAAGCTTTGGCTTTGCAATTTCTTGAATACGAGATATGAAAAACCGATTTTACCTAACTATTTTTCTCTGTGTGGTGTCGTGTCAAGTATTTTCAGAAACCTGAAACCTGAAATGATCCCGTTAGGAATCGAACCAGCTCCGACTATGAACAAGGAAGGGAGGTAAACCAGATTAAGTTTCACATACCTGTTTCATACAAATTTCTTCATTCTGGTAAAACCTTTGTTTATAACTACTGCAATCATGTTAATATTTGCTTTGGGCATTAAGATAAGCTATTTTGATACGAACGTCCCAGAGATGTTTTGTTTAACAGTAAATAAGTTGTGTCATTGTAGTCTCTTATAGTGCCCTCATTTTTTTTTGGTAATCCGATGTGAGTGTGTGAAAAATGGAGGAAACCCAGTTGGACGTATTGAATGGAGACTCTGACGTGAGTAATAGTACTAAAAGGCTTATTTGATGTCAGAAAATGTCAGTCAGACAGCGTTTTGGAATTATGACGTTTTTAGTACGCATTAAGATTTTGTTTATAGCGAAGCAGCTGCTTAGGCAGAAGCCTAAGTAATGGGACAGCGCAGCTGCTATAAGGAGCTTTTTGAACTGCCTAAGGTTAGTAAAACTGCAAAAAGCCTTCTCAGGCAGATTGTTTCATAATCTCGACATATTAGGGACAAAAGAGCGGTCACACCAGCCAGTTCTCGTTGTACGAAGTTCGACACGGTTAGGAAAGGGGACGAAGTCAGACGATACTTTCTAGTAGGCTCATAGCGCGGCGGCATCATGGAGGAGAGGTCTGAGGAGTGAGACCCGTTGACATAGCGGTAGGGGAAAATCCTGAGACTGTTAAAGTAGAGATCAGGCAGACCTCCTCTGAACATTATCGAGCATGTACAATGTAGTCGGGCGGCAGCAACTCAAGTATATGAGCAGTACTCGCGGCTAGGTCTTATCTGGGCCTTGTACAGAGTGAGGAGGTTATGTGGAAAAACGTAGATCTGGACTCCAGCCAGCTGAAATCATCCATCCATCGAAAGGATGAGCGCTAGTGCGCTTCTTGTTACTCAAGGTACAGTACTGTGTTTTGGAAGTATTAAAATGTACCAGATTGCTGTGTCCCTAGGCAATGATAACCTTCAGATATCGCGCCGGAGAAAAATCCGTTGCTAGTTTTCTTCTTTCCAGCTTATCGGCAAAGATCGGCTTGGCACTCTAAGTGCCAGCATGAACAGTGCTGTCACCAGTAAAGCTGTGAATCGGACTGATCGTAAAGGCAATGAGGTCGTTGATGATAATGGAAGCAATGTCGAAACCACGACCGATCTCTGGGGATCACCCGCATTGACATTGTGGGATAAAAAGAAAAACTCGTCATAACGACGGTTATCTTGCGGCCAGAGAGGAAGTCAACCACTCATCTGCTAAGCTTCTCTGGGAGGCCATCGAATGGGGGTTTGCATAAGATGACAGTATGTCACAGTTGATCAATAGCTTTTGTGATATTGAGATCAACCCCATGAGCCCTCACTATATGACTGGATGAGTTTACTTCACAGCTATACGCCTGGAGTTGTAAGGGTCGGTCTTAGATTCTTCTTTGGGGCAGGCTGGACATGAACTTTTAATTGTTCTCTTTGGAACCACATCATCTAGGTACTGGTCCAATTTAATTTTGTGCCAGAATTAAACGTCGATTTTTTCCATATCCGTGTATATCTACTAATGCGCGCACTAATTGCATGATCTAAAACAACTCATTAAAATATTTTGCAGCATGAATGGTCTTCGTGAGTCTATGATTAAAATACAATCTATACCAATGTATCTTTTTCCGGTCCAGTTTCATTGAAAGCTGTTAGTTTATGAAGTAGATTTAAAACGATCCACATTTAACAGTTTTGAGGCATTGCTGCAATTTGCTTGGAGTATATGAACAGCGTAATCGTGACAGCAGCTCTCCAAATTTGAGAGCGGTGCTCCAAACCAGTCTTTGGGGAAATGCATTCCTATACAGAAAACACATATTTGACAAAATACGTTCGTACTAAATGATGCCCAAAGAAAGTTCAACCGCTACAAGAACATACTTGTTGGTAAAGATCGCTTCAGGTTAGAATTAGATTTTTTTTGGGTAACTCTTATTCCAAAGGGTTTATATGTTATTGATTTTCGAGAACCAGTCTTTCTTAATTTCTTACGTCATTCAAAGCTCATAATAACCTATAAGGTTGAAACGGGTATATCTATTTATATGAATGTAGAGGAATAAGGCCGTATCAGTATCAAATACCCGATAGCTTTTTTCCAGCGTTGTCTGTATATCATGTTACAACTTTATTGACTTATTTGTGCGAGCGTGGAACGGCATACAAATTCCAGAGGAATGGTTTCCTTTTAAAATTTAAATACACAGAAAACACATTCTGAATAAAATCATAGTAGGTGAACCATGGATGCCAATCCAGAGACAAGGAAAAATAATACAACTCAATTTACCATTGGATAATAATAATATTATCAAAGTATCTTACTTTATGAACACTAGCTTTTGTTTGTTGCAGATTGAATCTGAAATGCAGGCGTCGATTGACTCGTTTAGAGAAAGGTCCAGAAGTTACTCCAGATGGTCACCAGTGGACGAAGGAGTTACGTTGGCTTGGAACAATCTCACTATTTACGCAAAAATCAAAAAACGTGGAATAACTAATTACAAGAGGATCATTAATGATAGTAGGTTGCATGTATTAACATTATTTATCAACCTTTTTTTGAGACTATCTGATTATCGCGGTCATTTTTTTTTTTTACTTTCTACGCCACGGCGAGGAAATATAATCGGGGAAAATTTCGAAAATGAAATATTATGGTTTTTGTATCTTATATATGACGTGTTCATCACGAAAAACCAGGTCACTCATTTCCATCAGCCTATCTGTCTGTCCCCTAATCCCTAGCCCGTTTATAGGTGTATGGATGAAATTTCCACGTAAGGTAACTACTATGCCTAGGTCCAAAACGCTTATTTGAAAATCGGTTCAGTGGCGGCAGAGCTCGACGTTACGACGCGAAAAGAAACAAAATAAACCCGTAAGCTTCATTTTTTGGCGTTTCAGGAGCGTCTGATAATTTTCAGAAAAATGTTTGTAGAGTTTAAAAATTGAGGGTTTTAAGGGGTGGGTGAGTATATCTCAATTTCTTGATGTAATATGCTTATACGCTCCCAACCCCGGTAATTTTATCTATTAGTCATATTTCACACAACAACGGCTATCCCGTACGTTTGTGACTGCTATCCGGTCAGGTTGACTGTTATGATCGTACTGCAGCGGTGTCGTGGTAGGCGCTTCTGCGTCGGATTATATTGTCAGATGGACGACAACTACAGGTAGGGCAGGGAAGGAATATCTATGGAATAATTGTATGAGAGTGTTTGATTGATTTGATTCGTTTAATTTCTCTGTTGTACATGTTCGTAGCTTTTTTTGTTTCTCAGAGGGCTTACTTGTGCCAAACTTAATCCTTTATGAACTAATGATGCCGTTGCGTAGGAAGTGTAGAGTCAATCTATTTGATACCTTTTCCAAGCTAGATTTAAAAAATATTTTTACAGTGTCTGGGGCAGTTAAGGCTGGCAGTCTTGTAGCACTAATGGGAGCAAGGTATGTATCGTATAACAGCTGTTTTGAGGTTTTTCATGCAAAATATTTTTTCCAGTGGTGCTGGTAAGAGTACACTTATGTCCGTTTTAGGATACAGAAATAGTGGTACGTATAATGTCTTGTTTTTAAACATATTCAGTACACCTCTTTTTCAACTGAGAATATTCTCTCTATTTTAAATAATGTATGCGAACAATGTTTCGGGAGTTTAACTTTCAAGTTATGGTTCGAAAAATGGGTTTTTATTAAACATCTGAAGTTACATTTACTGGTAAAACGACGAAAACATAATTAACTAACGGCTTAAATTTATAAAGTTTGGTCTCATTGAAATTGCATTCATATTTTTTGTCAGCAAAGCTAGTGGTTGAAGGGGACATGATTATCAATGGAAGGAAGATAGACGATTACATGAAGTACCTGAGCGGTTATATGCATCAAGAAGATATGTTTATACCATATTTAACTGTTTTGGAACACATGACAATTATGGTAAGAAGATGCTACATTTCTTCGTATTCTTTTACTGTATTCCCAAAGTTGAGAAGCAAACATATGTATGTATCTGTTATATTCATTTTACGCCTACTGGCGAGGAAGTATTGTAATCGCTAAAATTTTCGAAAATGAGGTAGATATGTTTTTTGTATTTTACATGACATGTACAGTTGTATTCATAAAAAAAGCGTACAGGAATTAGAATGAGAGGAAACCTTAACCTTATTTGCGTAAAACCGGCTTATCGCATGTTAAAGGTTATTAAAAATGCAAAGCATGGGCGTCGGGCATTAGTTCAATACAGTAACAAAAATGTATTTCTTTATTTTACATCTTAACAGTTTTATAAAAATTACAATAGAAACAAAAAACGATTAACAAGAATAAATAAAATCTAATATTTGGTCATATATCCATGTTTTTCTATTACTTGAGCCAGTCTATTCGGAATTGACTGAATTATATTTGATACAATATTTGGATCAAGCTCTTCCCAGCACGCATGTATTATTTCCCATAAATCTTCTGAATTTTGTGGCCTAAAATTTCGATTATATATTTTTTTTACGATTATACCCCAAATATTTTCGATTGGATTGATATCGGGACTATAAGCGACCCAAGGCAGCACTTCCACATTATGGGTTTGAAACCAGTGGGTTACAGCATTGGCCGTATGAACTGGACAATTATCTTGTATTATTGGGATATATTTGCTCAGCACTTGGTAACAATATGTTTTCTAAAATGTTAATGTAATTTCCGGCATTAAATCTTCCCTCTATTCGCCAGCAAACACCAGGTCCATGAACACTTATCCAGCCCCATACATTTACAGAGAAACACCCAGGTCTAGAATTGAGGGGGTTAGTATATCGCTCTTCAAACCTGGTATTGTTTGGACGGTAAACACGAATTTGGCCGTTATAAGTCGACTGGAACGTCTTTTGATCAGTAAAAATGACCCTGTTCCAAAATTGAGGATTGCGGTATATATATTTTAAAGCAAAAATAATCCTTGATTGTCGCCGTTCTTCGTTAAGAAACATTTTTTTCGCAGCAGGGTGACATTTTAGTTCAGATTTCATTACTCTCCTGCTGGCGGTAGGTTGGGAGGCAGGAAATGCTGTATCAATAACAGCATCCCTTACAGTTGCAAATGGATTATTTCTTAAATATCCCAAAAAAGTAGCATCCTGTTCAGGGTTGGTAAGTTTGGGACGACCTGAACCAATTTTCCTCTTTAGGGAATCTTCCTGTTCCCAGCGTTGCTTAATTTTCAATATGGTTTTTTTATTTCTATTATACAACTGCGCTACAGCACGGATTGACCATCCTTCTTCGATTCTTGATACAATTTGAGCCTTTTCAACTTCAGGCAACTGACGAGGCATTTTTATTTTCTTCTGTCAAAGTTTATCAAACGTTACCACCACGCATTTTCGAAATGAATTACACTGACGTCAATGCTTTGCATTTTTGACAATCTACGACGTGTGATAACCTCCAATAAACAATCATTTAGACAAGCCGGTTTTACGCAAATAAGGTTAAGGTTTCCTCTCATTCTAATTCGTGTACGCTTTTTTTATGAATAGAACTGTACATCACGAAAAACCATGTTCCTCATTTCCGTCTGTCTGACTGTCGGTTTGTCCGTCTGTCTGTCCACTAATCCTAGGCCCCCCTATAGCTTGGAAACTACTGCTTGGATTTGGATAAAATTTTTACGCAAGATTAGTGTTATACCAAAACCAAATTCTTTTTAGTTTGAATATCGGCCAGTGAAAAAAATTCAAATTGTTCTAACTTTATTTTTTCACGTTTCAAAGGATCCTGATAATTATTGAAAAATGTTTAGGGGAATCAAATAACTGGAGGGTGGAGGGTTGCGGAGGGTGGGGGATGATATATACCATTTTTTTGATAACAGTATACCTATAAGCTGCCAACCTCGGTAATTCTACGCACCTATTAAACATATTTTACATATCATTGATCTTCCCGTACATTTGTCCTTAAAACTTATGGAGAGACGCTTTCGATACGCGACCCTACTTCCACTCTCTGCGTTCACCGGCGGGAGTGCCAGTCTTGGTAAGTGCCCTCTCATTACTGCCGAGGTGCCGTGCTGCCGCGTCTGACACGTGGTGCCGTCAGGTATCGAAAAGAGGCCACGCTGCCAGATGGAATGTAATATCCGTAGGTCAGGGAAAGATTGTCTATGGACTATTTGTATGGTCCTGTTTGACTGATTTGATCCGGTTAATTTCTCTAAATATGCATGTTCGTAGCTACCTTTTTTCTCAGAGGGACCAACTTGCTGAACATCCTTTACGAACTGATGACCGCGTTGCGTGGAAAGTGCAGAGTCAACCTGCTTGACGTCAATTTGAGATGTCATCATATTACCTTAGGCCCATATCGTCAGTCATCCTTACAATTGTATGGCGCCTTTATGGCCTCCTTGATTGTCATAGTTTTCTACTTCTCCGTGTCAGCGCTCTATTTTGAGGTTATGTCACAAACATCTATTGCCTGCAATTTCCTACAAATTAAAAAGAAAACATATCTTCACAATAGGAGAGCGCTGACGCTGACACGGGACAAGTGTAATCTATAAATTTTTGAAGGAGAGAAAGAAGTATGACGATCAAGGAGGCCATAAACGCGCCCTACAATTGTAGTGACGACTAACGATATGGGCCTAAGAGATATATTAATGTTAAAGTGTTGTTTCCAGGCAAATCTCAAACTAGATAGAAGACTAACAAGAGACGATAAACGCCAGAAAATCTTAAACATACTAACTGAGCTTGGTCTGTTGAAATGTCTTCACAGTAAAATTGGTGGTACCGACCAAAACAAAGCGCTATCAGGTGGTGAGAAAAAACGATTAGCATTTGCAACAGAGGTAAAAGCATAAATATCATCATTCGAACTTCTTTCTTTATTTCACACTGCTTTCAATCGATATATAAATACAATATCTTCCTCGCCCTTCTGTGATCAAATATTGTTATTCTTGCATATCCATCGCTTCCTCTATTATAACTGACTGGTATGGCCGTTTCTTTGCTCCCAGAAGATTGTCAATCAATTCAAAACGCACATAAAGAAACTACAACATATCCGCATTATATTGCCTGACACACGATAAAGTAAATTTTTTATTGCTTACAGATCTTGATAGATCCGCCATTACTATTTTGCGATGAACCAACAACAGGCCTAGACTCTTACTCCGCTCAGAAGTTAGTAGGCATTATGAGCAAGATGGCATCAGAAAGAACCACAATAGTTTGCACCATTCACCAGCCCTCGATGGATATATTTTCTATGTTCACTCAACTGATACTCATAGCTGATGGTAGGACAGCATATATTGGAGCAACGTCAAAAGCTATCGAGTTTTTCCAAAAGTAAGAAAGATTTTGTGAATTACAGAGGTGAATATTGTTACTAACGTATTCTACCGGATGATAGCCAACCTAATACTTTATTCCCGTGTCCAAAAAATTATTACAGATGAAATGAAGCACCGTAGAGCCATCTATGAGAATTTGTCATAATTATGTTTCTCCTTTCCGCACTAATTACAAATCTATTTTGAAAATGTTAGTGTCTCATAGATGGCAATGTAGCCAAATATAGGCTATATGCTAATGTAGTTGGCTACATCGCCATTTATGAGACACTACCCTTTTAAAAGTATATTTCTAATTAGTGCGTAGAAGTAGAAGCATAGCTGTGACAAATTCTCTTAGATGACTCTACGGCAGCTCACATCACATCGGATCATTTTTTGGATGCGAGAATATAATATTAGGTTGGCGTTGTTTAGGTAGAATACGCTGATTTAAATACATTTCCTTAGTTGACCATGAGTTTATTGTTCGTTGAAAATTATAAGGAAATAAATAGGTATGGTAAACCTGAACACAAAATGAACACGGTAGTAACAATAATAAAGGTAGAGATCCACATGCTCATAAAATAGCATGCTTAAAAATAGCATGTTCTTCAAACTGATACATTTGCTTGTGCTTAGCATGCTTGATAAAAGCCTGCTCTTCTCAATCTTGCCCAAAGCAAATGCCCCGGACACATATGATATTTAAAAGTAAGCTCTCCGTCAGTGTTTCCAGTCTGTGTTTTAAGTGCAGCTAGTAAAAAATGGAAAACCAAGTGACCCTCTCCAGAGAATTGAATAAAGTCAACATTTTAATTGTAATACAGTGCATCCAAAAACTGCTGCTACTAAGAAAGAAACAAGGAGAAATAGGACGATTTGGGTTCGTCATTGACTAACGAGACGAGAAAACCTTGGAGTAAGTATTCGATTGCTTGTAGAATTGCAAGAAGAATACATTGATGGCTACTTCTGCATCAGTTTGACGAATTACTATCTAAAATTGAAAGCGATATACAGGAGCAAGATACATGCGAAATGCTATTCCAGCAAAAGTGAAATTAGGATTTACATCGAGATATCTAGCAACTGGAGATTTGTTATAGACATTGGAAGCACTTCACAGAGTTTCAAGATCTACTATAGCTCAATTTCTACCTGAAGTGTGTAATGCAATATACAGCAGCAGCGGTGGCCGCAGTAGTAGACTGTTCGGCCTCCTGATCAGTCGCCGTGCGCTGTGCTGGTGCGAATCCCGTCCCAGGAGAAATTTTTCTCTTGGCTATGGATGTTGTGATTGTCCGTAGGTGATAGGCGGTCTCGGATTGTCGAACGCGGAGGTACCACCCGGCGATCTCGTAGGCGTGTTCCCTCGCCGGAGTCCGAGTGGCGTTCCCCCTTTCCCCTGTATCCCCCTATAGCCCCACGGTACCCAATGGGTGTTTAGGCCTTAGGCCTTGGTACTAGTTGGAGTATAGAAAAAAACAATGCTCTAAAGGATTATTTGCGGGTACGTAAAGTAAGAAGTTCTATGAAAGTGCAGATCAAGTATTTATTGTTTGAAAATATCAAGTAGGTACTAAATCTAACACGATTTCCATGCTTTGATTTAACATTTCCCATGCTTTGGTCAACAAATTTTCTTGTTCGGGTTCGACGTTATTATCTTGTTGAGATGATACGGAAGGAACTGTGAAGTCATTGTTTGTGTATTTGTAGTAGCAAGTATGGAAGTCATTGTTTGTGTAGGTGTAGTAGGAGGTGTGTCAGTTATTGTTTGTGTATTTGTAGTAGAAGGTGTGTAAGTTATTGTTTCTGTATTTGTACGATTTGCGCTCAAAATGTCTCGCTGAGGTGAAAAAAAGACGTTGAAATTTGTGATTTTATATCGCAACAATGAAAGCCTATGGAGTCCGAAATCACCACAATAGAAAAATAATATTCCAATAACAAATGCATTTGAAGATTTATTAGCCAACATGGACCTTTGGCAAAAATTAAAAACTGAAGCTCTGTTTACCACAGTGAATTGACAAAAACTGAGAATTCCCAGAGATCAGGTTCGGATACAACCTGCTCATGCCGTGGCTTCACGATATAAATTCTTTCCTTGGAGACACTGGCGACTACAGGGAATCTATTAAAGCAAACAAAAATGCACCTAATTCTTGGTACGACATATTTATTAATTGTTTCGTATTTATTATTATAGGTATGTTGATTTTATACCTAATAATTTATATCAAATGGTCTTGCCATGGTACTGCATCTGTAGTTCCAAAAAGCTGCGCATAAGCGTCTCTTATTGCTTCTGCCTGTTGAGAAGCGTGATTACTGAAGCGTGTACGTGGTAAGGGCTCTCCGCAGTTGTGTCCTTAATGCTCCCGGTATCACAACACGTTGTTGTATATCTTCAAAGTCGACGCAACTATGAGTGATGTAGCCATTTGTGTAAAGATCAAGTAGCTAATATTTTTGGGGGCCATATCTAAGGCATTCAGAAGAACTCGAAGTTATTATTTCTAAAATACCAAACGCATCTTCAACGATTCGTTAAGCTCTCAATAACTGGTAGTTAAATATTTTTTCTTTATGCGTTGAGTTCTGCGATAGAGCTTCGCAAGATATGTCACAACAACTGAATGCTTCAGTAAATTGCTAGTATTATTTTTCAAGGCTTGTGCTAAATTCGATTGTTGATAAACACCTCCATCAGAAGCTCTTCCATTAGTTCCAACATTTACGTATGAAAAACAATTGTCGTCATCAACTATTGCCTGGAGTATAATGCTATGAGCACGTTCAATGCGTTTCCACAGCCTTCATGGCTCGGAAACTGTAATAAAAGAAATAAAATACAGGGTATTTTTGATGAATTCCTCTGAAAATATATTTTATTACAGAATGTAGTCATCGCAACATTCACAATCAAGTATGCTGCTTCAAATTCAAACCGGTTGACGTCCTGTCAGTGAACTTGCCATCACCCTTGCCTAGTTTGACTACGGAAGACCGACCACAATCGCTTTCATCTAGTAACACATCAACACGGCGTACAAAAAGCTTACAAGAAGAACCGATCGCATTATGCTCTCGATCATTTGGAGAATATAAGTTCTGCTATAAATAGACAGATGAAATACGGCGAATTCCATTATTTTGCTCAAAATGTTGCAGCCCAATTGCGAACCCTGGCATTGTTCGCGGCATTAGATTACAAACTAATTTCCAAGAAATTCTGAATGCAACAAGTACCAGTACCCAAACTTATCTCCCTTTACACAAACTAAGACAACTTACACACCTCCTACTATTATACAAATGACTTCCATACTTCCTACTACAAATACACAAACAATAACTTATACAGTTCCTTTCATATCGTCTCAACAATATAAAAACGTCGAACCAGAATAAGAAAATTTGTTGATCACAGCATGGGAAATGTAAAACCAAAGCATGAAAATCGTGTTAGATTTAGTACCTACTTGATATTTTGATACAATAAATACTTGATCTGCACTTACGGATAATGAGTGTTTCACTTTACCCGCATATAATCATTTAGACTTAGAACATTGTATACTGCATTACACATTTCAGGTAGAAATAGAGCTATAGTAGATTTTGCAACTCCGTGAAGTGCTTCCAATATGTATAACGAATCTCCAGTTGCTAGATATCTCAATGTAAATTCTAATCTCACCTTTGCTGGAATATCATTTCGCATGTGTGTATCTTGCTTCTGTATATCGCTTTCAATTTTAGAGAGTAATTCGTCAAACTGATTTTCTACATTTCTACTAACAATCAAGTACCTGCTCCAAGATTTTCTCTTCTAGTTAGCCAATCACAAACCCAAATCGTCTTATTCCTCCTTTTCTTCTTTCTTGATAACAACAGTTTTTGGATGCACTGTATTACAATTATAATGACTTTATTCAATTACTACCTGCACTTGAAACACAGACTGGAAACACTGACAAAGAGCTTGCTACTAAGTAGTCCGGAGCATTTGCGTTGGGCAAGATTGAGAAGAGCAGGCTTTCAACAAGCATGCTAAGTACAAGTAAATGTATCAGTTTTATGAGCATATCTATCTGTACCTTTAATCATAAAAAAGCAGAGGTAAATCATAGCAGATGTCCAAATGTTGTCCGTTATTTTGTAGGCAAAGTAGCAATGTTAGTGTGCAATTTATTTTTAAATCCCACCGCAAATAAAGTTAGGAAATAATTGAAACCATTATGGAAAAATCCGGTATCTTCCACCTCTCTCCGGAAGTACTTGGAATTTCGAACTTTCTAAGAAGTAGTTTGTTGATTACCTAAATACACACCGTTGCCCCCATTCAAGCGACTTCGTATCTCTTACACTTTTCGTGATCCCAATGGTGAGGGTCGAATTTGAAACTCCCTGTACTATCGGAATGCCTGCTAATTTAGTTATGGATCTTTTTCAACATCAAAAATCCGAAGTACCTTAATAGGTACAGACACCCTATACAATCTAAATGATGATTCTGTTTTTAGTTTGGGATACACTTGTCCTAGTACGTATAGCCCTGCAGACTACTTCATCAAGATCCTGGCTAGTCCTCCAGGTCAAGAAGACAGTAGTCGGCAGACTATCAAAAGAATTTGTGATCAATACGCAGTAAGCGACTATGCTAAGGAAATCGACGTTGTGGTTCAATATGAGTTTCATATGGGACGAGCTGTTGTTGTAAGTGTACTTTAAAAATTATGAAAAATATAAATAACCTCTAAAGTTTTATACAAGATGAAATAAAAAATAGTGGCAACGGTTCCAAGATAGAAGTACAATGAAGAAAACCAAGGACATTCTAGAATTTGGGTTCAAATATATGTATATCTTAACTAAAATTTTTATTGAATGCTTCTCAAGCTGCATTGCTGCAGATCGTTCACCCTCTTTTTTTGAAAACATAGCCACGTAACCACATCAAAAAAATATTGCTTCTCAGGATTTTTTTTATTTTTAGCCAAGACGATTCGAACTTCGATCAAACTTGTAAGTAACTTACCTATACCTATTCTGGTATTGAAATTCAGAGATCTCTGAAAGCCCTTCTTTTCCAGCAAGGAAATTCACTGGCATTCCAAACTGTATTGGCTGGTTTACAGATGGACTTTGGAAGTGATGAGAAATCCTACTATTGAACTCACCAGAGTGCTTCAGCGAGTTGTAAGTAGATGGCGCCGCATGTTCCGTTTGAAGGTGTTAAAAGTGGTGGTATTGATCTTTCATTGTTAAGAATTACGAGGGAGAAAAGTATTTTAGAACGGCGCTAAAAAAACAGGGCATAAGTTGCTTTCAAAATTCCAAAAGTTTTTTCAATTAATCTTTTTCTTGTTCCCAAGAGTTTAGGAATTCGAGATATTTTAGTGGTTTTCAAAAGTTTTTATATTACCATAATTTTACAAATATTCAAACTATTGAAACTTCCTCAGAATTTACCAATCATCTCAAATCTTCAAATTTATAAAATTTCAATGAGCATTTTCCAAATTTTTGAGCTTTCCAATTCCATCAAATTTTCAAATAATCTAATAAACTGACGATTTCAAAGATTTTAAATAGTTGTAAAAGTTCCAATGCAAAGGTTTCAAAATCTTTATTTTCAAAATTTTAAAAATCTTTTATGTCTTCAAGATTAAAAAAAATACTTGAAGATTTTCGAGATTCTCGAAATATTGAATCACTTCAAGCTCAATCAATTCTTTTGAATCCAAAATTTGTTGGATTCAAAAAATTTTTCCAGTATTACCAAAATTTTCGAGTTTTTAGGAATATTCCGGATTATCAAAATTGTCAGAATTTACAAGTTTCCGTAAAATCGAAGTTTCCAAACTCTGAATGTCAAAATATTAAGAAACTCTCAGAGTTTCAACATTTATAAGATTTTAGAAATTTTCTAAAATTTAAAAACTAAAGCTTTCGAAATTTCCAAAATATTCAAAACCCTCAAACGTATCAGGATTTAAAATCTTAGTTACCTTGAAAACCTTCATTATCAAGGGTATCGATGTTTTCACATTCTCGAATTTCCAAAAATCTATATTTTCTAAATTTTCTAGACTCTCAAGTTTTCACATTTTCAAGACTTCAAAACAATTAATTTTTCTGTTTCGATATTTACAAAATTTTCAAAATATTAAAAACTTCCCAGACTAAACTAAGAAGATACTTAATGCCTGCTTCATGCTGACACTTTTTTGACCATACCAGGCTTATGGATTTTCCAATATACGACCTTGTATCTGATATTCCAGGGCACAGCCATCCTGATAGGGTTCTGCTATTTCGGCACGAATCCGTACACGCAAAATGGCGTTCAGTCAGTGCAGGGTGTAATTTTTATGCTCGTGACCGAAAATACTTTCCATCCAATGTACTCGGTGCTGTCTGAATTCCCAGAAAATACGCCGATCTTCATCAGGGAGTACAAGTCAGGGTTGTATCATCCTGCTACCTACTATTTATCTAGAATTTTGTCGATGGTAAGTAGAGTCCGAAAATTTGTTGAGCACAGCCGAAGCCGACGTTTTACTTTTAACACAACGCTCGGAAACGGCCGAAGCCAAATAGTTAACTAATCAGAAATGTGAGGTAGAAGTAATCTTCTACCATCACATTTCCAACGGCTTGAAACTGACTGAGAATTCACAGTGGAGAAAACATGTTCAAATAAATCAATTTTGTGTCTGAAAACTGGTTTTTGAACGGGACTCGAAGTCTCTGACATGCGCAGATCGCACATGATCTTGTTTTGTTAAAGGTGCCCTATGATTTGCGATTACAGATTTAGAATTGTGTTGGGAAGTTTGCGCATTTCTTAGTTTCTTTGAATAGTGTGTGTCGATTGAAAAGATTGAAGCCGGATAGCCGTCTTTATGAAATTTAGTGTGTACTAGTTTTTTCATAGTTCAAGATAAGAATTCGATTGGATCTCATATATCGATTCGAGTGTCGATGAAAATATTTTGTCCCATACAACATAATATTTTTCAGAAATATTATTTAAGAAATCTTATATTATAATAATCGTAATGTTTGAAAATCCTTACAAAATATTGCTCCAATATTTCAGGAAGGTATAAATATATATGTAACGTACATTCGAATCTTTCATAAATATTACATTGAAATGTTACAAAGTAATGTTCAGTGATCATAACTTTCTTTGTTGCCAGGTACTGTTATTGCAATCTTGAATATTTGTTCAAATAAAACACATAAGTACTTCCAACGAATCTATTACATATACAAAGGGTACTATAAAAGTTTTGCAATAAGTAATTTCCAACACATTCAATACACTTGTCCATCCGCGAAAACCAGCTCTGCCAAGTTTCACCCGGGAGTGCGGCACACTCGTTGTTCCAGGCCCTCAGAAGGTCCACATCGCTAGAAAACCGTTTTCCGTTTAGCTTCACTTTCACATGCGGAAACAGTGCAAGATCGCAGGGAGCATGATCTGGACTGTAAGGAGGGTGCTCAATAAGTTTCAGGCCAGTAGTGGTCAAATACTCCAGGCTTTGGCGCTGTGAGCTGGAGCGTTGTCATGGTGTCCATTCTTAACTTTGGCCGCAGGTTTTTCATAGACTCTATGACTTTAGGCATGCACTGTTCCGTGTTCCGCATAGCTGAGACTGTCTTCTGTCTGTCGAAAATGATACGCTCTACAAACTCGATCGATTTGAAAATTACAGCTATCATTTTTTTCTCAACATATCGGGATTTTCTGACAGCTGCTGGTGTGTCCTCATCATGAAAGACCCCAAATTTGTTTTGAGCCTTGGTCGTAATAATAGAGCCAAGTCTCGTCACCTGTTACGATGCTCTTCACATACCGAAATTGCAAATATTTTCAGATTCTTTCGGCACCAAGTTGTACGTCGAATCTTCTGCTCTTCCATCAGACTATGCGGTACCCAGAGAGAACAAAGTTTCATTACGTGAAAATTAGTTATGCACAATTGAATGAATTTCTGGTGCATGAAGGTGTAAGGTCTCCTCTCTGTCTCTCTGTTAGTGTGTCACTCACTCTCCGGTCTTCGTCAGGCATTTTCCTCACAGCACTAATGTTTTCCTCTGTTACTGACGTTCGCGGCCTGCCTTCCGTCTCAGCGTCCTCCAGAATGAAATTGCCCCTTTAAAATTCTCCGTACCACCCGAATATAGTCGTATAATGAGGACAATCATCCTTTAATGCAAGCGTCATTTCTTCTTAAACCACGCGTAAAGCTATACAGTAAAACTGCCCTTATCTCACTATGTGACCATGATGCCATAGTTCGAACTTTACACTGTCAATATGAATGAACAACTAAATCAACAGTCGTGCTGCTGGCAGCTACTATGCACTCATGGACATGTCTCAACATGCAATAACATGCAGCCTCCTGCATCCGTTTGTTAAGTCATATTGAAAAACTTTTATAGTACCCTTTGCACAAGTATAAACCATCAATAATAGTTGAGTCATCTATCCACCTATCCACCGAACATCTCATCTGTGTCAGTTGATTCATCCATCTATCCGTCAGTCTCATCTGTGACAGTTGTCCTATGCCTACAAGTTTTAACATTAAAGCAACTTATCCTGGAACTGAGAGGTAACGTTTTAAAATCGAATGTACTAAAACAATCATTACTGATGTTTCAGTTGCCCATGAAGGCTTGTCAAAGATATTTTTTTAAATCTCGGCAATGATTGTTCTGCATCATAATGTCGTGAATTAATCCAGTTTCATTTTAGAGATATAATAAAGTGAACTTCCAAAGCTAGTGATTAGGATTTATTAGTTAATACATCTTCATGCTCTAAGATATATGTAAAAAATGCGAAATGGATAATTCAAAATCAGGAAGTTTGAAGTTTATTTACTTTTACCAGATTCCATAAAAATCAATAATCATCTAATTTTATTATTATTAATTAGCCAATTTTTGTTTCAAACTATTTCGGTAAATATTAACAAACAATTAAATCTGATACTATTATTACATTTTATCAACTGTTGATTATACACCAAGAAATTGAATGCGATGCTTGCCTTGCAAATCAATCATTTAAAAAAACTTTTACTTACATTTCTCTAATGAATCTCAATTGTGCATTGTGTAAGCCACTAGTAAATTCATAAACGTAAACTCAAGCACTTCAAAGTAACGGAGGAGACAAAGACGAAACGTGACAAAACAGGAAGACGGCAAAATATCATGGCGAATGGCCACAGCGGGACACACGCGCACTGTCGTCAACTCTTAATTAATAAATCGCTGGATGTATGCTTGGAACCCGCTAAATAGGAAGTATTTCCTCTAAATAATGGAGTCACACGTATATTTATTAAGTACCTAACATAGACTCTGACTTTCGGTAATAGCCACAAATCCTCCCCACGAAAAAAAAAACAAAAAAAAGCTAATGGGTGTCGTTGATAAGCATGAATCACTGGCTATTCGGCGATTCGATATCTAAAACCGATCTTTTGCGCTGAGAAGATCTAGGTTCATTGTTAAAAAATCTGCTTTCGGAAATTGCTATTTTTCTGCCAAATACAATTGACGCCCGCTAGATCTATCGAAAAATATACTAAGTTGGCGACATCGGACTTCTCTCATAGCACATCCGGATTCTGATAGTGCCAAATTTAAAATCAGCTGTACTTATATATTATGCTGTATGTGGATGTCTTCGTTTCTTCGTCAATATATTTTTCATTGCTTGACGAAACAGGACAAAACAAAGTCATCAAAAATTTATCATGGACACGAAATAATACAATAGTCGAAAAATCACATTTTTTTTTACTTTTTCGTCGTAACTGCACCCATTGATGTGCATAGTTGTATTTATTTGAATACGAATCAAATCTCATGAAAATTTCAAAAAATATCAGTAATATTTCAGAAACAATATGAATGAAGTATTCCTTATCTCTTAATCATACATTACAAAATCAATATATCTGAAAGATGTACGAAATAACAATTTTGAAATGTAATATTGGGAAAGATATGTAATACATCAGAAATATCTCTGAAAACTAATGTTCTGTGTGGATACATACTGCTTTATAATGAAAAAAAAAACAAAACAAAAAATGAGCATTGCATAAATGTAATGGTATCTCTTTACAATGGAAGTGAATTCATGGAACATTTCAGAGTGGCTCGCAGAGTGGTAGAGGATATCTCGTACAAATACGAACACTGCATGATCTTAAAAAGCACTACTGGAGGCAATGAGAAAATTTCTGCTTATGAGCAAAAAAAACTCATCTTCTTGTGGTTCGCAGGACATGAAACATCATCATTTCGTGATGTAGCAAATAGATTCTACTCGTATATAACGATTAGTTGATTATTGTACATCATAGGACGACTGATCAATTTTAAGGAGTTATACCCTATTCCCCCATTTACGCCCTGGCACAACAAAGATGCAGCACGGCAAGGCGGCAGCCGCCTAAACGTTGCAGTAGCTATTGGTCATTCGGCCATAAAACTACGAACAAGTGCAGGATTCGACAGGATAGAACTCAGGCTCGGGATATCGCCGGCACGCCGACGCCGGCAGTTGATGCTCATATTCGGTGCATACATAGCGTGTGTTTATACGTTGGCATGTCGTCTAGGGATAAAGCAGATGAAACAGAATATTTCTCCCAATGCTTCCTTCAGCCATGCTTCCTCTTCAGCGATGTCTCCTCCCCGAAAACGTGACAAGAATGGACATTTGAATATTCAGGCAAAAGAAATTGTCCTTAACGTTTATACGAGCGAAATTTTAGAGCATCCTGAAATGAAAATTCATAACAAAACAGGCTTATGTCCTAAGACAATTTTCAACGTTGTTAAAGAATATAAAAAAACAGAAATTATCTCATCCACACAAGAGGCTGAATTACATGAAGCTGTTGGATACAGTTGATAACTTTGATCGGAATGCCATTTGACGAAAAGTCCATCAATTTTGTGAAAGGCAGGAACTTTCTACCATAGACCAAGTATTACAGGAAGATGATAGTGATGAGGACTCACCTACATTCAAAAGGACCACATTCTATAGTTTACTCAAAGAACGGGGCATAAATAGTATTTTGATGGACTCCTAAGAGATTATTTCATGGCAAAGAAATTATTTAAAATCAATAAAGAAATACCGCGACCAGGGCAGGAAGACTTATTACTTGGATGAAACCTGGATAAATGCAGGACATGTAAAGCCTAAGGTATGGGCTGACTCTCTACAATTAAATCACAAGCCTTCTGAGATGAACTAACCATAGCCTAAAGAATCTGTCAGGTGCGTATGTCTAACCAATTCGTAATTTTTGTTGTACAAAGTAGACTGAACCTATGAGCCCACGCTGAAAACTTAGCTACACTAAACTTAGCTATATCTGGTAAATTTGGAACCAACGTTGGTTAGATACTCTGCTTGAATTATTATAAGCTTTCTTGAATATTATATGAAATAATTATTTCCAGGAAAAGGAAAACGATTTGTTATCTGTCACATTGGCCATCTTTGGCTCTGTGCCCACTGCCCTATGGGCATTTGAGTCAAAGAAAACGACCGACTACCATGAAGAAATGTACGGGAGTTAATTTGAACGATGGTTTGAAGAAACGCTCCCAAAGCTTGACGACAATGCCATCATTGTACTTGGTAATGCTGCATACCACACTAGAAAACTAGAAAGAATGCCCACAATGTCCACAACAAAGGCAGAAATTCAACAATGGCTTCTATCAAAAGACGTTAGTTTCAACGAAAATAAAGTCAAAGCACAACTGATCCATCTAGTCAGGCAGCACGGATATAAATATAATCTTAATGTTATTGACGGAATGGTTAAAAACCAAAATAAGACCGTTTTAAGGCTACCCTCTTATCACTGCGAATTAAATCGCATACAAATGATTTGGGCAAATATAAAAAACTATATGGCTCTTCAAACAATACAACATTCAAATTTTCTGACGTGAAAAATTATTTGTTTTATGAAGCTGTCAACAGAGTGACGGAAAACCATCGGAACGATTGCATCCGTCACATTCAAGAAACAATCGAAACAAAGATGTGGGATTTGGACAATATGATCGATATTCAAATTGAAACTGTAATAACTAATATTAACCATTCGGACGATAATTCAAAAACTTCCAGCGAATAAAGAATCGTGAAAAGTATGTGCACTTCTTTTCATAAAAATAATAATTTATTTTGTTAGATTATACCAAGATCATTGAGGAAAATACGGACCTGTACAATCTCGCTTGTTTTGTCTGGGCGTAAATGGCTCTTCTGGAACTGCAGTTCAATGACCTAACAATTGAGAAAAGAAAAATATAATTTCATCTTATTGTCCAGTATGATGCTTTTACTGTCAACTCAATCGTATTTTGACAGAAAAATATGTTCTAGCAGAATCAAATTTGAAACCGTTTGAAACTAGTTACAGATGTTAAACCGTTGGAAATGTGATGCCTACCTAAAGTGGAAAGAATAAAGTTTCAACAAGAAAAAAATTCGCCCCCGGGTGGGCTCGAACCACCAACCTTTCGGTTAACAGCCGAACGCGCTAGCCAATTGCGCCACGGAGGCGATGATAATACGTTTCCAAAAACACGTACACACCGTGCGGGGCATACGTCTATATATTTTTAGGTTGCAACAATAATGTTCTGCACTATATCGAAATTATTGATATTGGAATATAAATTAATTAAGCATATGCAATATTTTACTCACACAAGTGGAAAAAAGGAGGAATCAGAGGCTTTTACTAACTTTTGTTGCATAGACGTTCAGCCAGTGGCGTATCTAGGTTTTACTAGAAATTATTTCACCATCGTTTGTATGATAAAATTGGGATTTAATTTATACTTTCTTATTTAAATGAGAGTATTTAACGTAATTAGGTAGTAAAATACTGGACTGATTCGAAAATTACGAGCAACTAGTTACTGGAATATTTTGCAGTTACCAGGATTTATATTGGAGCCAGTGATCTTCATTTCATTAGCCTATTGGTTAACTGGTTTGCAAAGGACCTTCGACGCTTTTGCTTTAACAACCACTGTAATTATATTGACTATGAACGTCGCATCTGCTTGTGGTAAGAAATTTATCAATGCATATTATTCAACCTATCGTAAACAGTCTGTTACTAAGAGTATTAGTATTGATTAACGTATTCTACCTAAAGATAACCAGCCATATGAACATATGATGTATTTCAGGACATGAAAAACACCACCATCTATGAGATAGTAGCAAAACACAAAAAAACATTTTTATTTATTCTTCCGTTGGAAAACCTTATATGATACTTGGAGATATCCTATTAAAATAGGGATTGAATATTCCAAAGAAAGATTGATGATCTCAGCGCCATCTATGAGACAGTAACAGAACCAAACCCTCACTTTTCCAGCTACACTTATAAATTTATTCTTGTGTTCTGCTACTGCCTCATAGATCAAAGCTCCTTTTATTGGCTGTCTTAAGGTATTTTTTAATAGGATATGTTAATCAATTGTACTAGACACCTAGGTTATCATAGGGAATATGAAACGATGTCTGCTTACCAGGATATTGACTTATTGTTGCATTTTTTCTAAAAAACTTATTTTCAGGTATCATGTTTTCAAACGCCTTTGAATCCGTACCAACTGCTTTGGCATATTTGGTGCCATTTGATTACATACTGATGATAACGTCCGGAATTTTCATCAAGCTAAGGTAAATCTGAAGATTCATATTTTTGTTGTTGTACATATTTTCTATTTAACCAAACAATCTGTTTATAGCTCTTGGTATACAAAACAAGGTATTTTTTTACAGCACGTTGACGAACGTTTTTGATTACCTAAAGTATCTTTCTTGGTTCATGTATTCTACAGAATCATTGAGCATAGTTCAGTGGAAAGGAATAACCAATATAAGTAAGTAGCCTTCATTATCTGAAATTTGCTATAAGGACATTTTTCTCATTCCCAAATTGATGTTTGTGGATATATTTTATTACTTGTCGTAACTTACAAGAAAGTACATATTCAATACAATTGCAGCTTGTGAAAATCAACAACAGGGACTACCATGCCTAAAAGACGGCACAGAAGTTTTAGAGAAGTACAATTTCACACAAGATAACCTAGCCAGGGATATGATTAATATGATTTTCTTAATGATCGCCTTCTACCTCTTAGGTTATCTGTTTTTATGTTATCGTACAAAGCGAAAATGATTTTTTAAGTTTAGTCCCCTAGTCTAAAAGATGTGAAGATAAGGCAATGTTATTTGGTACACTGAAAATGATCGGCACCCTTATTAAGTGCAAAGTGAGATAGCGGTCTGATCGCCATTGGCACAGCCACCTACAGCTACAAGTGATGAAGTAAGAAAGGCAACGTTACAATTGCTTTTTCATTAAACAAAAAAAAAAGGGATACAGAGTCCAATCACACCGTATATCGCTCATAAATAAGTAAAATGCAATATGGGTGGTTCGGCCTAGGGTCGTACGAGTATACCGATAGGACTACCATACCGCAACATTGCCAAGTTTCGTACTTCGTGGCTTGTTAAGTATACATATGTACAAAGCTATGCCTTTCGAATCAGCTACCATTCACTTCATGTTCATCTGTAGTAGCTGTGCGTTTTGCCTAAATGTCAACATATTTGAGCTATGAGCTGTAGATCTGATGAAAGATCTGCTTCAGAGATGAAACTAGCGGTAATTCATAGCTTCTTTGGTCTAAGCCGTAAGTTCTATACTATCTGTCGTTGTGTCATTCCTCCATGCTTGGCATTTACAGCGAGCATGCATGGCATGGACTAACAGCTAGCTAATCCATAGGTGAGTATGGCGATCAGATAGCTATCATAGCGATTAATTTACATATTACGGGCGCGGCTTATATGACGTCTGCAAAAGTATAATTGTGACAACACTGCATTAGTTCGACTGACGTTACGTATTGGTGGTACCTGTTGCTCTCTGTTCTGTTCTGGGTGACATCACTTTGCTTTGGAAATGCCCTTACCCTAGACTTACATCATTGTTTCTATCTATCGTTAAGTCGTAAGCAAATATTTTTAATATAATCGTAGTTTTTCATACTTAAACGTTTTCCAAATAAACAATGTTTTAGAGTGTTTTTAGATAGTTGTTTTTCGTTGCGCTTACCAGACAAATTTTCCCAGAAAATCTAGTGATCCACTGCAAAACGGACTTAAAGAAGCATAAGCACTGTATAAAAGTTTTTTAAGGAATCGGGTAATTCGATGTTGTTGCTAAGATATCGCAGGCTGCGATTCGCAGCCATTTGCAACATTCCTGAAACTGGAAAAACCAGCGATAGATACATTTATTTTTTGTTGAGTTATCTAACTATTTATGTTTCATGTGGCATACCGTTAGAAAGACTGTTAACTAGAGAAGTTTTTAATTACATTTGAAAACCTCGTATTCTTTTGTTATTGTTTTGCTTATTGTAAAGTTGATGTAACATTTTTTCAATTGACTTAAGGAATTTTGTTGCTCCACTGTTACTTGTTTTTCAACTGTTTGTATCAAAATGTTGGTTGAATCTGAATGAAGTAACAGTAAACTTAAGAATAAAATCAATTTTGCGCCGTTGCGACAGTAAATAGAAAAAATACATAAACTTAATTTTAAAAACTGAGGATTTCCTCGAAAAAAGAAAAGATCGTTATTTCTCACTAAAACTGAGGCAAAAAGTAAATTAATTAGGCGTTGTAAATAGCCAATAGCCTCAGCCATCCACCATTTCCATTTGGCTACTCACTCTCCAAACACCCTGTATATATGATTCAAGTCGGCAACAAGATAAGAAATAGGTATAGCTAATATAGGTATTCTGTATTACCTTGTTATGAATAAGCACTCAATACTGACACTGAGTAGCTCTGAAGTAATTAAGAATTGAATTTGTTCTTATTATTTTGGGTTTTTAAATAGCGTCTTGTCACCTTTACTAGTATGTTAATTTAGTATTCTCCACACCAACGAGAATTCCGTTTGCCACCCACCATTCACGTAGGTGGGCAGGTGTTAATAATTTTCTGTGTGATCAGTCTGTTTGTAATACAAAAGATTATCATCACCGATGTTCCGGACTATTATATCTCATTTGCTGTGTTATAAACAAATATTAGAGTACATTTATTGGGCTACATTCATGCTGTTGGGTAAAAATCTTAGAATGTTTTCATGTTCTCCTGCCATGTCGAAAGTCACCCCATGGCTAGGGGCAGGCGGACGATGTTGTTTCGCTACTGAAATTAGCAGAGCTCGTTCTGACCTACATCCCGAAATACCGGCAGCGACCGTGAATATGTAACCGCCCCACAACCACTTACCGCCCCTCCCGTCTACCCCTTACTCTTTGCACGAGCTCTATGCTCTATCCGGCCTGCCGCTATACTCTACACAATAAGGCAAATGGCTGGTTTTTTGACTTAACGTTTATAGGCTGTTCCAAGGTTTGAGATAAGTGGTGGTGGTGGAAAATCAAATAATATATTTGCGGCCAGGTTTACCTTCTATTATAAAATCTTTCAGTTTGCATTTTAGATATATTGAATTTTCTATATTCAGCTTCAACGGTGTTGATTTTAATAACCCTGGATTTTCCAACTGTCCTTCTAATTTTACGCTACTCCCCAGTAACTTTGTTATCCTGCAAAACTTCTTCAAAATCGGTTCAATAGTGCCCGAGTACATTCGTAAAAACTGAATTTAGAACTTTTTCATATTCAGATATGGTTGTTAATCGTGGATGATACGCTCTTGCACACCTGTAAGTCGAACGTTTCCATGAGCTGGGTCAAGTCAAGTCATCGTTGGTTGTAGAGCGGTCCGTGGGACCTTAGCTCTGAAGTCTGTCAGGTCGGGTAACCTAGAAACTAGACAATTTTAAGGAAAAAAGGAAAGGAAACGAGAGAAGGAAGAAAGAGAGCAAATATGAAGAAGATAATCTTTTAGGGCAGAGAGCCTTTATGCATTGTTAAAATCACTTAACTGATTTTGATATGGTCTAAAAATATTTGATATTTGCAAGGATTTTGTCAAAATGCTCCAATTATGGTTGTTCTCAATTCACGAATTAATTTTGGTTACAGTGTTGTTTTGCGATTCCGCTTGGCTATGGCGCCGCTGCACCTTTTGCTTAATGCAGTCCCTTATGTAGGGACATCCATGTCTCTGTGAAGTTTGCGTAGGAACATATAATGGGACATCAGTAATAGTACGCATGTGTGATTTGGCTTTATTGCCACCAAGCCGCACAAGCCTGTCATTGCTGGTCTTATGATAGACCCGACTCTTGTTAATCAAACTTAATTTTCAACATACATAATAATGGTTAAAGCTGTCGAAACGTAATTTGGAATTTGCTCTTAACGTTTCAGTATGATTTCGTCAAGTCATCCGTTCGTCCAGAATTACACGGAGATACTTAGCGGAGCTTTCAGATGGTATACGAGCTCCATTCATTGAAACCTCAGACGGGGCGCCGCGACGTCTTTCCGAACAATAGATTGCCTACATTTGCGAATGGTTAATTTTAATCAGCCACCGATCATCCCTCTAATACTTTCTCCACCTCACTTTACGTGAACTAGGACTACCATACCAATGCAGTATTGTCAGCATAGAGGTAGACGTCATAGTTGCTGGGACTAGGGACGTCATTCATGTACAGTGAGTAAAGGATTATTTGACCATGGACAGAACACTAAGGGACACCGGCTGTAATGTGTCGCTTAGTCGACAGAACATTGTCAATTTTGATCCGAAATTTGCCACAGTCAAGGAAGGATTTCAGTACTTTTAGAAGCCAAAAAGGGCAGCCCTTTTGGATTAGTTTATACAGGAGGCCCGCATGTCACACCTTGTCAAATGCTCTTAAGACATCCATGAGGTCCGTTTGACTATTTATACCTGTTATACCCACAAATACTATGAAAATTATCATTTCGTTCTTGATAAAAAGTCTAAATCAGGTGTTCCCAACCAGGGGGCGCCTCCCAAGGGGGACATAGAGAGATGTCAAGGGGGCGGAAATCGTTTGCATTTTAGAAAGAAAAAACAAAAAAAATAAACAAACAACATTAACAAATAACATTACAATGTAATGTTTAATTTACACGCATAAAATTAGAAATTAAATATATTCACTTATTCTGTCAACTGGTGTTTCAAAACCCGGCGTCGTCAATCGCAGTTTATACAAGTTTCGACAAGTCACAACATGCAATTAGCGCGCACCCCGACACGCTCCGCTTAACATTCATCACATAGAAAACAATTGTGTACCTACCAGACGTGGATGAGCATCTGTACATTAATTCCCACAAACTTGCGAAAAATTTGACGTTTCGAAATACATGTTTGGTTGAGAAATCATGTGTCAAATTGCTGTGTCTCACTATTTGTGTATTTACAAACTTCAGTTACCATTTTTACTTACTTTACTAAACTGTTGATTGAGTGGAGACGCGTTCATAGATCGGTCATTAGGACTTTTTTACCACATCACAATCAAACCAAAGTGGCGAAATAATTTTGAAACGACAAACCTTAAGTACCTAATATTGATTCCAAATGTATTTAAAATTACTATTATAACGTCAACCTGCCACCAAAAATATAAATCTCCCGGTGGCCAATATACTGTATATTAAGATAGAATAATGGGCATATAACTAGTTTACTAAGTGACACATAAATCCGAACACCCAGTTTAAATGGTTTTATTTTAATAAAATTTTGTATAAGTACTTAATGAAGCATAATGAGTAAATGATAAAAATTTCAAAATGATTGCACTGCTTTAAAGCCCTTTGACCTTTAATAATGTGTGGATGCACCCTGATGTGCTACGCATTCTCCAACGCGCCTAGGCATGCTTCTAATCAGGTGGTCAATGTCCTCCTGTGGTATCTCATTCCAGGCAACCACCAACTCCTCTCAAAGTGCTTCTAGAATCTGAGGAGGACGTTGCAAATTGAGCAATCTCCTACCCATCATATCCCACACGTGCTCAATTGGGGATAAGTCGGGAGATCTTGGTGGCCATGGTAACAATGTGACATCATTATGTTGAAAGAAGTCTATTGTGACTCTTGCAACATGCGGTCGGGCATTATCTTGTTGGAAAGTTGGATCTGCCAGGGTGTCAAGATAGGGTAAAAGATGGGGTTCTAGAACTTCTTGAATATAACGCTGCGCATTCATGTTACCTCTGATGAAGATTAAAGGTGACCTGGAACCATAAGCTATAGCACCCCAAACCATAACTCCAACAGTGTGATGAACATGTCTTGCAACAAAAAACTGTGGATTCCTCCTTTCACCACGTGGCCTTCTAACCCTGGCACGACCATCGTGCATGCCTAAACAAAATCGAGACTCGTCACTAAAGACAATACTGTTCCATTCCTGATCCCAGAGTGACCGTTCTCTGCACCACTCAAGGCGATTACGTCGGTGTTCTCGAGTTAAAGGGAGGACCCAGTGTGGCCGGTATGAAAACAAGCCAAAAAGCAGTATAAAAACAGGAATGTCCAACTGATAAGGCTGAAAATTTTTTCACTTGTTATTTACAGTAAGATAAATACATTCACCAACTTTTATTAAAATAAAACCATTTAAACTGGGTGTTCGGATTTATATGTCACTTAGTATATTTACATCTAGGTATTTTGTTTATTTATTTATTTCTTATTTGTTTTATTGTTTACGTGCAAAATGGCAGCGAAAAAAAGAAAGTTTTCCGAAGATTACGTTAAGTTTGGATTTACCTTCATAGAAAAAGACGAGTTACAATTGCCCGTGTGTGATATGTATGAAAGTTTTAAGTAATGATAGCATGAGGCCCAATCGCATTGAAAGGCATTTGAAGCAACAACGTCCTACTCTGGTTTTGAAGACGAAAGAGTATTTTTCATTAAAGCGGATGAGCCTGGATAAATCGGGAAGTTTTCACACAGGTGTATTCCAGCATCTCAAAGCATCATTTGAAATAGCTTTTATGATAGCAAAGCAAAAGAAACCTCATACTATCGGTGAAGAATTAATAAAACCAGGTGTCCTAAAACGCACGCAGATAATTTTAGGAGAAGATGCAGAGCAAAAAATGA